ATAGAAAATATTTGCAAACCATATTTTTGACAAAGGGATTCTGCCCAGAATACATCAAGGACTCTCAAAACTCAGTAAGAAAATGAGCCACCCAACTTAAAATTGGGCAAAAGATCTGAACAAACAGTAAAGAAGATAGATGAATGGCCAAAAAAAAACCATACGTAAGCATGTTCAGCATCACTAACCATTAGGGAAATGCAAATTAAAACCACCATGAAATACCACTACACAATTAAAACGGCAAAGCAAAAACAAATGCAGTATCAAGTGTTGGTGAGAATGTCGAGCAACTAATGCTACCATATATTCCTGCTGGGAATTCAAATCAGTACAGCCCCTTTGGACTTTGGATAACAACATGGTGGTTTCAAGGTTAAACATATAGCTGCTATATACGCACAACAATCCCACTCCTAGGTATTTAATACTCAAGAGAAATGAAATCTTATGTTCACACAAAAACCTATATGTGATTGTTTATAGCTCCTTTGCTCATAATCACCAAGGAAGGGAAAATATGAAGATCTGGCAGGTGAATGGATAAGTGTGGTACATCCTACAGTAGAATATTACTCTTCAAAAAACAAACAAACAAACAAACAAACAAAAGGAACAAGCTCAGCTTCAGCTTCATGCAACAATAAGGATAAATCTTAAATGAAAGAAGCCAGACCTCCTCATCCCCCAAAACTACACACTGTATGATTTCATTTATATGACTCTGGCAAAGGTCTGGGGGTTGGGCTGGGGGAAGGGGTGAATCATAAAGGGGCAGCATGAGGGAAATTTTGGGGTGATGGGACTGTTTCGAGTGGAAGCATGGTAGTAAATAAGTGAATCTCTGCATTTGTGGAAACCCACAGAACTGTGCTGCACAAAGTGAATGCTGCTGTATGTAAATTAAATAAAATCAACCAGGATAAGTGGGGAAAGATGAAATGTAGGCTGTGACAAGTGCACCTATGTTACAAATGAATCAAATAACCACACTGAAGGGGCTAGGAAGAAAGAGCAGACCTAGATAATTTGGGAGGGAAGGTGTTTTAACTGGATACATAAAGATAAACACACACTCACTAAAAAAAAAAAAAAAAAACCTATATAATACTGTATTCTAGTTGGTAAATTTGTTTCCCCTGTTATAGTTTAGCAATTCTGAAACTATATGTATACTAGAGATCAGCAAATAAGTAAATATATTGTAAAAAAGGAGAGCCAGGTTTCTTGAGGAGAAAGAAATGACAAATATGCTCTGAGGAAAGAGACAAATGTCTCCTGTGGTGCTGGGTGGAATCAGAGGTATGGGTGTATTTGTGGCTTTTGTTTCACATACATATAAACAGATGGGTACGGAAATAAATACAGATGTGTGTTTTACGTGGGTCAGTACACATGCTAGCATGCATTTCCTAGCTCTATCCACTGGAAAGGACTAGAAGCAGTGACAACTTAACAGTGATGAGCCCACCAGCACCCACATCTAGGTTTTCAGTCTCCTTGGAAAAGTGCTTAATGCCTGTGGTGTGATCAAAAAAATTAAAATGAAAGGCAGGGAGCATGTCGAAAGGGCACAAAAGTCAACCTGAATGAGCTCCCATAGCCAAAGTTGGAATGTGAACAGCAAAATAATGATAGTATTGTATTGTAACCCAAATAATAAGATAAGCATCCGTGATCCCCATTAATATAAACAACCAAATAAATAAACAAAGGAAAGGGACCACTGTTTCTTACAAATTCCAATTAACAAAGGTAGAGGATTGTAGGAACAGAAAATCACTATTAGAACATGACTATAGTACTTGTTGAGGCAAGATCTCTATAAAATCAATGGGTGCTGGGATGCCTAGGTGGCTCAGTTGGTTAAGCATCCCACACCTGATATCAGCTCAGGTCATGATTTCACAGTTTCATGAGATGGAGCCCCACATCAGGCTCCACACTGACTACGTGGAGCCTGCTTGGGATTCTCTCCCTCCTCTCTCTCTCTCTCTCTGCCCCTCCCTACCTCAAAATAAATAAATAAACATTTTTTTAAAAGATCAATGGATGCTAAAATTATTGAGCAAAAATTTTAAGCAGAAATAAGATATTTGCATAAAATATCTTCTCCAAAATATGTATTAATTACAAAGGGGAAATAATAACTTTACAGTAGATAAACCTGGCAGATACTACCATGACCGAGAGATCGACATAATGCATATTGACATCATATGTCCCTGATATGCACTGAGAAGGGCACATCAGCTCTGGCACCCTTCCCAGTAGTCATGGAAAAACATCAGACAAGCCCAAATTGAGGGACATTACACAAAATATCTGACCAGTACTTTCTACAAGTTCAAGGTCATGAGAGACAAAGACTGAAGAAATGTCATATTTCGGGAAAGACATGATAACACAATGTGGGATCCTGGATTGGATCCCAGAACAAAGAAGACATTAGTGAAAAAACTGATGACATACAAAAATGATCTTTAATGTGGTCAATAGCATTGTAGCAATGTTAGTTTCTTAGTTTTGGTAATTTTTCTATGCAAGATGTTAACACAAGGGAAAACTAGATGAAGAGTATATGGGAACTCTACTGTTTTTGTAACTGCTGTAATCCAAAATATTTCCAAATGAAAACTTTAATTTAAAAAAGGATACCCCTGGGGCGCCTGGGTGGCTTAGTCGGTTAAGCGTCCGACTTTCGCTTAGGTCATGATCTCGCGGTTCATGGGTTTGAGCCCCGCGTCGGGCTCTGTGCTGACTGCCAGCTCAGAACCTGGAGCCTGTTTCAGAGTCTGTATCTCCCTCTCTCTGACCCTCCCCTGCTCACGCTGTCTCTCTCTCTTTCCTAGAAATAAATAAAAAAAGGATACCCCTGGGGCGCCTGGGTGGCTTAGTCGGTTAAGCGTCCGACTTTCGCTTAGGTCATGATCTCGCGGTTCATGGGTTAGAGCCCCGCATCGGGCTCTGTGCTGACTGCCAGCTCAGAGCCTGGAGCCTGTTTCAGTCTGTGACTCCCTCTCTCTCTGACCCTCCCCTGCTCATGCTGTCTCTATCTCTCTCCTAGAAATAAATAAAACATTAAAAAAAAAAAATTAAAAAAAAAAAAAATATATAAAAAAATTAAAAAAATAAAAAAGGATACCCCTCAATAAGAAAGAAATTTTCAAAATATAAAAAGAAGTTGAAGATATTACATTTCATGATTTTTTAAAGATATGAAATTTTTAAATTATGGTTCCTGAACATTTTTGTTTCTCCAGAATGGACTCTTCCCCAAATAAATAAATAATTGCTGTCCATCATTATAAAGAGAAGCTCTGATTAAATCACCCTCCTGTTCAAAAATCTTTGGTGGCTTCCTGTTGACTTTTCACTGCATTTGGATCTATTTCTGAAATTGCTCTCATTCCTGTTGCCCCTCTTTTCCCTACTACTCTTTGTGCCCTATACTCCCCCAAACCCACCTTGGGTTCTGTTTCCTTCCTTTATTCTGCATTCCGAGAAATGCCTTTTGCCAGAACTCTACTAGTCCAGAGCCCACGAATGCTTCCCAGTCTGAAGAAACCTCACCCTCCCTTGAAATCCCAGCAAATCTCCCTCATGATCTTTATCAATTTCCAGTACTGCCTGGTGCCTCTGCCTAGTGGGTAGAGTGCTTTCCTCCAAATTTTCTAATTTGCCCTTTGTACATAAGACCACATGGTGCTGTTTAGGCACAGCACCCAGAATTTAGACCAGGATCTACATACTCTCCAGTCCCCCATTTTTCTCCTTTAAGGACATTTTCTATCCTCTGCACCAACATGGAGTAGACCAGATGCCCAAAGGGTCTCCAGGACCCATGCTTACCAAATCACCCTAGGAGTCGATCACTCCCCCTGGTATGTTTGGTGTTTCTTTCAAGGAACTACATGAGATTGGACTGCTAGATTGGGGTGACCATGATTTGGGGTGACTCAAATTCTTTATGTGAACAGGAGCTGCCAAAAATATTTGTCTACAACCCTCATACCCTAGGAGTGGCTGTGTCAATTTCTATCTTGTATCACACATGCCTTGAAGAGTCCAAGCCATAATCATGTCTGCATCCCCTCCCCACATTGGTGCCTAGTGTAGTGCCTTTTACATAATAGATGTTCTCTAAATATTTTTCAGAACAAATACTCATTCAGGAATGAGTAATGTCTCAGATATACATGGTTTTGTTGTTGTTGTTTGTTTGTTTGTTGGGTTTTTTTGGGTCCAAGGCTCTAATTATGTTCTCCCTACACAAATTCTTCATCGTTCCTCTCAGTGGCAAAGAGGGATTTCCATGTTCCCAAGCCCACCAGTCACTGACCTGACCGTTGATGTGCTGAAAGCTTGTCAAGAAGGAACAAACACGTCTCCAGATTCTCTTGATAGTAAACTGCAAGTGAACTTCAACTCTGAGACATGTGAAAACAGCCAAGCGAGGGAACAATCGTTGAGTGGTTTCAAGTTAGGCAGCCCAGTAGTTTGGATTGAACAGTACTTTGGCTCCAACAAATTGTAGTGATAGAGCATATGTTTGTTGTGCTTTGCTTTTGATCTTCTGCTCCAACGTTGAGGATACTCGCCCAAGGTGGGGGGGGGAAGGAATGAGAGCTGGGTAGAAGAAAACTGACTTCACCCATCACTGAAATATTTCGTACCTGAAGCACAACCACGTTGAGAGAAGAACATGGTGGCGGCTCTTCACAGTCACCTGATTAAGGGGCTTGGATTTGCTCCTGACTCAGAGGGAAACACAACACCACCGAGAAGCCCCCCCACAGCACCTTCACACTCACAGCCGAGCCCAGGCTCGGCCCCAGTGGACATGAGAAAAGAGGACTGCCAGAGCCACCAAGAGGGCAGGAGGCTGGCTGTTACCAGGTCCACCCCATGTGGATCACAATGGCTGCATGAGGTCATGGAATGTTGAAGAGGTGAAGTTAAAGTGGCTCCTGAGTCACAAAGTCGTGGGGTGGGGGACATCCTTTCGACAGGGCTCCCGGGAATAGAGCCATACTACTCTCCCTGATGATCCCAGCAAGTAGCTACTTCTCCCAGACAGAGTTGGGGTCAAATCCATGCATGTCCTATTCCCTCCAAAGCCCACTCTCCCCAGGGCTTGCTGAGATGGAAGGATAGCTACAGCCCCCCCCCCCTGGCATTTGTCTGTGTGGAGGCAGGGTGCACGAAGTTTGAGGCAGAAGTGAATGGACAGGAGTGCTTCATAGGGAAGAAGCAGAAAGGTGGCAAGAAGCTGGCAGCGGCCCCCGAGAGGGCCCTGGCGCCATGGACAATGATGAACCTCTTGAGCCTGAGACAAAAGGTGAACAGGCATCCCACCTCTCACCACTCAGGCCCTTCTGGGCTGTCTCAGCATGGCACCCAGTGATCAAAGGGACCCTGAAGCCCCCTTCCCTCCTCACCCAGGACCCTCTAGAATTGGGATGATGGGTAACATTGACTTGGCCTCATGGCCTCCCAAACAGGAAATGAGACAGTTGGAGCCAATGCGGTGCTAGAATTGGCTCGTACTCACTCTGGCCAGCTTTAATTTTCGTTTTGTGAGCTGTTTGATGTCATGTTGGTAGTTTGAAATCCACCATGTTGGGAATATTTACGCCACCTATATGGGCTAACATTACAAATCAATGATTTTTTTTTTTCTGGAGAGCCTGTTAAACATTTACTAGCATTCTACTGGTTGGATGGAATTCTAAAATTGTATGATTTGGGGCGCCTGGGTGGCTTAGTCAGTTAAGCGTCCGACTTTCGCTTAGGTCATGATCTCACGGTTCGTGGGTTTGAGCCCCGCGTCGGGCTCTGTGCTGACTGCCAGCTCAGAGCCTGGAGCCTGTTTCAGAGTCTGTGACTCCCTCTCTTTCTGACCCACCCCTGCTCACGCTGTCTCTCTCTCTCTCTCCTAGAAATAAATAAAAAAACATTAAAAAAATAATAATAAATAAAATAAAATTGTATGATTAATGAGGATATTAAGATCAGAAAGTCATAACTTTTTGATGGTTGAGTTTGACGGCTAAGCTGCTGTTTATCTTCTAACTGCGGGGCCACTGCTACTTCCACCCCTTATCACACAGACCTTGTTTTACAGTCTTGGAAATAATTATTGGAGCTTGGTGTATGGATAAGGACTAAGAAAACATCTGCATGAGCTTATTAGGAACCCCACTATATTAGAACTTGGGTGGTTTAAAACTTGAGACCCCTGCCACAATGCTCAGCCCACCCAAAGAGTAGACTGGCTAAGTTTTGATGGGCCACCTGTTGGTTTCCCATCATGGCTCCTCCAAACACTGCATCCTGTGGATGTGGGAGGAGTAGCTCTAGCCTCCTGTGTGTGGCTTTCGGGAACCCAGCCTAGTCCAGCAGCAGAAAACTCAGGTCCAGCAAGTATCAGGCCTGGGATGATAGAAGCTTAGGACATGTGTATTTAATCATGGCAATTAATCTCACCCCCAGAAAGATTTTGCAAGCTCTTCTTTCTTTCTTTTTTTTTTTTTTTTAATGTTTATTTCTTTTTGAGGGAGTTCAAGCAGGGCAGGGGCAGAGAGAGGGGGACAGAGGATCCGAAGCAGGCTCTGTGCTGACAGCAGTGAGCCGGAAACAGGGCTCAAACTCATGAACCGTGAGATCATGATGTGAACTGAAGTCAGATGCTTAACCAACTGAGGCACCCAGGCACAACCCCCCCACCCACCCCACCCCGAGCTCTTCCTTCCTCATGATCCTAAAATAAATGTTGGATTGGAAGGAAGAGAAGCTAGGTCAAGGTCTTAGGAATCAAGTTATCCTTCTTTCTCCTTGGGACTGCTTGTGTTCCATTTCATTTTACGTATGTCGCAAGTGGCCTACTCTGCCCTGTCCCTCGCCCCTCGCAGTACTGTTCATGCCTGCCCATGAGGAGGCCTAGGCATCGGCACGTGTCCTTCCCCTGAGAGAGCAAAGCAGACCCTGAAGCCCACCCAAGCCAACAAGAAGGAAAATAGTGCCAGTCTCCGAGACAGGCCCCAGGCAGGGAATGAGGCAGGAACAGGGAGTCTGCAGAGGACATGAGGGGGTGTTTAGCACAAGACTCTACAGATGGTCAGGCGGTGGCACGGTGTCCGGGAGGGAGGGTTTGTGGAATGGAGTCCTCAGGCGGGACTGAATGCACACTGCAGTCCCTTGGCACCTTGAGCCCCATGAGGCTGGTGGGGGGAGCTCCTCTAAGATCTGGCAGGCAAAAGAAGGGAGGGGTGGAGGAGGGGGGAGCAGGGGAGAAGCCACTGGTGGACTTCACCCTCTCAGGTGCCTCTCAGTCAGAGGTTTCATTTCCAGAATCAAGGAGATGAGTTTTTCTTCTAGATGAACCCGAAATGGAACCAGAAGCACAGAACAGTGACGAAACCCTCTACTGTGAGGCTGAGGCCTCTGTGGCTGTAGAAAAAGAGAAGTCAGGCCGAGAGAGCTCAGAAACAGACCTGGAGATCGAAGGTAACCGTGGGCACTTAGTGGGCGGGGCGGAGGTGCGTGTCCTTCCTTGGAAACTAGAGATCTCAGTTCTCTCAGCCAGGCCGTGGCTCTGTCCAGGGGACCATCCCGCAGAAGGAACATGGCAGCATCCTCCGGGGCAGTTTTATGCCACGTCCTCCTTGAGGCTGGCCTGGTGGCATCTTTGCAGTAGTCCCAGGAGGTGGTCATCGTTGCCCACCTTTTAAAGAGGAGGAGACTAAAGCCGAAGGAGATTGTGTGAGTTGCCCAAGGCCACAGAGAGCTGCCAATGTTTGCCAATCCCCCGTTTGCCCCACTCTGCTGATTGGCCTTTGTGCTCAGTATTGTGAGGGCCTCTAGAGTGTCGGTGACCTATCTTGCAACCCGGTGACTTTTCTCTCTACTCACATGAGAGTTTTTGGTTCCCCTACTTTGAGTTTGCTCTGAACAAAGCCAAGTGTGCCCTGTGCAGGGTGGGGAAGAGGAGGGCTGGCTGAGCTGCAGCAAAGACTGTTACTGCTCACAACGCCTGCGCCCTTTTCTCCCTCTCCATTTCCCCAGGGAGGGAAGTGCCAGGAACACCTGTGAGGCAAGGCGAGCACAGGGCTGGCCGCACCGGATGGGCCAGCCTGGAACTTCCAGGCCAAGGCTAGCTCACTGCCTTCGTCTCCTGTGTTCTGGCAGAGGAGTTCATAAACCTCCCCACCGTGGACCATGTACAACTAACCCTCCAATGTGCTTTCCCCTACCCTGCCCTCAACCTTCATCTTGTTGCTTTTTCTGACTTCCACGTCCAGGCTGCCGCTAATGCACTGATGTTGTTTTCAACACGGACTTTCACCTGGTTGGAGGGGGTGGCAGATAGAAACGGGATGTTTTGTCCCAGACTTCTGCTTCTGTCCCATCTTCCCCCCAACCAACCCCCAGCTCCCCACAGGTGATAACACGATTGCAAGCTGCCTCTAAACTATAACCATAACAACTACAGCTAGAAGGGGTCAGTGGAATGAAGCAGAACAGGATTAGTGCCAAGGACAAAGGTGGGGGGTTACTACCCCACCTTGACAAACAAGAATCTCTACCAGCAGCTAGGCTGTGCTGGGACGGAAACTCAGGGCCCAGCTGCTCTAGCATCTGGTGCTGAGGATCTGGGAACGGGGCCGGGAAGGCTTCCCTGGGCGGACCTGAGACTTGAGCCCTGGTGGAAGCAAGCTGGCGGTGAGGCTCCAGAAGAGGGAGAGAAGGCAGAAGTTGCTCACCTGCCACGTGTGGTTTTGCCTATGCAACAGTGGTCCTCGCTCAGAGGCGATTTTGTACCCTGGGCGGCAAATGGGGGGGTGGGAGGGGATGCTACTGGCATCTCACTGGCAGAGGCCAGGAATCCTGCTAAATATCATTCATGGCCCAAGACAGCCCCTTGCAACAGTGACCCAACTCAACATGTCAGTAGCACCACGCTTGAGAGAGCCCACCCTACGACCATCCCAAAGAGAAGGCCAGTTAGTAGCTGGGCCTGCAGGGCGAACCTCCTTGTAAAGTTGTCCGTTCACCAGCAAAGCTCACATTGTCTGCCTCGGAAAATGTCCAAGGTGGGTTGGCCAAAGGCGCTGGCATCCAAAGGGATCACAGATGCACACTTAGACCCCAGCTAGCCATGGGAAGCCCGGCCGTCCAAGAGACTCACTTAATGAGGACACAGCTGTGAGAGCATATGGCATCCAGGGAGGCCCATTGACCATGAGCCAGGCACATCTAAAGACCAAGGAACAAAGGCCCCAAGAGCTTGGAATGGAGGGGTAAAGTCCCCGATTCTGTTAGCTGGTGTTAGAACTGATGAAGCTGTGTGTGATTTGGGGCTAGATTCGTCATTGGTAAAGTAAACAGGACAGACCTTTTTGTGAGGAAAAATGACACATTAAGTCTTTGAAAGACAAGTATCAATTCAAATACAAGTTTGTTTGTTTCCACCTGATTTGGGGAGGTCTCTCCATCTTGCAGTGATTTGCCATCTTGAGAAGCCCACTCAGTCCTACTGGGTTGTTTTTCTTTTTTTAAGTTGGAACCTCTCTAAATCTTTAGTAAAACTTTATTCATGGCTCTCATTTCAACAATGGAAGTAAAACTAAAACAAATGGGGGTTCCTTCAACCATCACAAATCAGCTTTTAGTCTGTTTGGCCTTTCAGAGCTATCCCAAGGTGGACAATAGAGCTGGGCCTTTATACAACGTTGATAATCAGTCCTGGATGTGGGCATCACAGGCAGGTGGGGGTGGGCACGCTGCTGCTTCTCCCGGCGAGGCGTGGGGCCTAAAACCAGGGGTCCTATCCCTTACCGAAAGGGAAATGACCATTTGGGGCTTTCTGGAATTTGGGTCTCCCTCTCCCACTTCTGGCTGACCTCCCGATTGGAGCTGCCCTCCGGCACACACACCCATAGGGATATCCTCGGGCAAAGGGGACACCAGACAGAAGTGTACTTGGCCCAGGGTTAGAGGAGACAAAGCAAAGGTGGAGGGGAGACCCCACTTCATCCACTTGCATCTTTTTGTGTAGATACAGAGAAACTTTTCACTACTGGACAAAGGGAGCTATACCTGGAGGCCTGCAAACTGGTGGGCGTAGTGCCCGTCTCCTACTTTATCCGGAACATGGAGGAGTCCTACATGAACCTCAACCACCATGGGCTGGGACCCAGTGGTACCAGGGCTATTGCCATAGCCCTGGTGGTGAGCATGCCAATGGGGGCCCATGAAGACTGGTAGAGGCAGGGGTTGACAGAGTAGTGGGCTCAAGACTCAGAGACAACCCCCATAGGATCCTAAATTGCAGGCTTTGTGCCCACCCTGCCCTAGGCTCTGCTTAAGCGCCAGTTGATTTACCTAACAGGCATGGATGCCCCATTAGCTCCTGGGAAGGGGGCTACTAGGGATCTTGGCTTTGGAAATCTATGCACTTTCTGATTTAGGAAGCAAAGGCAACAACCCCGGGTGAGTGGCTGGGCTGGTCGCTAATGCAAGTGCATAATACAAAACGCCAGCCTGGGTCTCAATCCCAAAGCTCATCTTTGCTATAAATGGGTTCACTGCTGAGCTATTCTATTCAATGTTTGCCTTTTGCAATGTTGCAATTCTTAAAAGATCACACTGTAGAATAATCATGTTTTCCCACAGAAATAATGTTCTCAATCTCTCTCTCTCTCTCTCTGTTTCTCTCTCTCAGCTTGGCATGAGCAATCAAGGACTTGACCTTGAATTCATCATAGCCTTATATAATTATAATTGATTGTATACAAACCAACTTCCATCTCAGAAAAACAGATTATGTAACAAAAACTATGTCAGCACAACACTGGTTCGTTTAGGACAGCAAAGAGAAAGCTTGACTTAAAAAAAAAAAACAACACTCATTCATTTTGGGAAATATCACAGCATTTGCATTTAGCACATGCCCTTAAGGGGCCATGGGAAATGTGAGACTGTGCTGCTTTCTGGAGGGAGGAGGAAAGAGGGGAAGAGCAGAGAAAGAACAAAGCCATCCTGAAATTTATTGAGTGTTGAAAGACTGATTAATGAGGTGTTAGGAATGCACCATTACCTCACAAGTTTCATGGGGAAAAAAAAAACTGGATAATGCAATTCTCTCAGCACTGGGGTTGCTTGTCTCTTAGTAACAACAGTTTCTGTTTGGAGGGGGGTTCTTTCTCTCTGATTCTCTGTGTCACTAATTTGACAATCACCGTGACATGCTGGGGTACTGAACTGTTCTTAAACAATTTTTTAAATGTTTTATTTATTTCTGAGAGAGAGAGAGAGCATGAGCAGGGAAGGGTCAGAGAGAGAGGGAGACACAGAATCTGAAACAGGCTCCTGGCTCTGAGCTGGCTGTCAGCACAGAGCCCGACTCGGGGCTCAAACCCACGAACCGTGAGATCATGACCTGAGCCAAAGCCGGACGCTCAACCGACTGAGCCACCCAGGCGCCCCTGAACTGTTCTTTATCTTTTGTACTGTTTAACTCTGCATGTATTGTGCTTCCCTGGCTTAGCTTAAAAGCACACTGATAGTAGTGGCCATACCTCATGCTTCCCCTCCGTCCCTCACCTGCCTGCCTCGACGCCCTCATGCTTGGCGGGGTGCAGGGACATTCTCTGCTCATCCTGGCTTCTCCAGCAGCTGGCACAAAGAGTAACCAGCAGCCACTGGCCTGTGTGACATGAACATGGACAGGTCCAGTGCGGGTTCCTTCCCGCTGGCCCATACACCGTGCTGGTCCCCAGGGTGGCTCTGCTCCTGGTCATCCAACCCCTGATTCTGGGCACAGCTAACTGATACCTGGTCACCTGAGCCTTGACCCCTTGCCTCTGAGCACAATGGAATTTTGCCCACCTCACAGAGTGGAGGCCAGAAGGCACCCGGTGAAGGTCCTGGGTGGACCATTCCACCCTGCATTATCTGAGCTGTCACATTTCCCCTTTGCCCGAGGCTAGGGCTCCTTACCACTGGCTGCCTCTGTCACTGCTTGAAGCATTTTGAAAAAGCTCAAATCCCAAGACGTGTCTGTTCTCTGTACCTCTCTGCACCAGAACCGAGGTGGGGAAGGGTAGAATAACAGTCCTGATTAGAGCTGACCCAGGGCCCTCATGCTGCAAGTCACTTCCTCTCGCCTTGCTGCCTGTGGGAATGCTAACTAGCTTAGATGTTCATATTTAAGACTGAAAGCCAGGTCCTTCCAAACAGCCTTAGGACAACGTCCTGACTAAAAGAAAGTCCCAGATAAGCCAGAGCCTAAACTAGAAGACCCCTGAAAGCAGCAGGCACAGTAAATGCTTTATGTTTAAATACCCTTAATAAATGCATCGAGTTCTCCTTAATGTTAGAGTAGATCACTGCTTCTCTCCTCCAGGAGAAAGAGCTACAGTCTGATTAGCTCATCCCTGTGCCCCACACTTTTTAAGGATTTCATCGTTTCTTTTACTCAAAAAAATTTTTTAATGTTTATTACTTTTGAGAGAGAGACATAGTGCAAGCAGGAGAGGGGCAGAAAGAATCTGAAGCAGGCTCCAGGTTCTGAGCTGTCAGCACAAAACCCCACGCAGGGCTCAAACTCACAAACTGTGAGATCATGACCTGAGCCAAAGTCAGGCGCTTAACCAGCTGAGCCACCCAGGCACCCCAGGATTTCATTGTTTTACGTCCCCTTTCTAGAGTCCCCTGCAGAACCCCCTTTGTTAGAGGTGCCCAAAATAGGCATATTGTTCCAGCAAATCTCAGCGGGATGGATCGTCCCTGTGCTTTCTCCAGAATTATTAGCCTGCATCTCCGTACCCTCCCAAAAGGCTGGGATGCTCCAGAGAGAGGACAGGTTCTGGGCAAGGGCAGGGAACTGACTAGGTCGCCAACTGCCTCTGTCTTTCTCCCCCTCCTCTTGTGGTGGCCGAAGTCCAACACGAGCATCGTCACCCTGGAGCTGGCAGACAACTGTATCATGGAGGAGGGCACCTTGAGCCTGGTGGAGATGCTGCAAGAGAACTACTACCTGCAGGACTTGGTACTGTGCCCTGCTCTGCCGATCCCCACCACCGCGCCTGGGTTCCGGAACATACCTGAGACAGGACAGAGGCCCCTGCCCAAGGCCCTGCCGGCTTTCTGCAGCCTGGAGGCCCTCTCCTCCAGATGTGACTCCTCAGAGGAGGGCTACACATCAGAGGCTGGCAGTGGGGTGGGGCGGGAGGGGAACTGTGTTCCCTGTGGCCCCAGGAAACCAATTCTGTCTGCACCTTATAAGCCCTTACTTCTGCATAGTCACTGTAATGTGGACTTAAGGAAAATAAAGACATGAAATACTTTCATCAAACACAAAATGCCTGGAGATGGATGATGGTGATAGTCGCATAACCATGTGAATGTACTTGACACCACTGAACTATACTCTGAAAAATGGTTAAGATGGTAAATGTTGTGTTCAGTCTATTCTTACCACCAAAAAATGGGAAACAGAGAAGGGAGAAACTATCAAGATAATAATGGCTGGTTTATATGCTAGTCCCTCCCGCTAGCCCGAAAGGACATTTGTATCCCCGTGTGTCCCCAGCAGATTCATTCATGCTTCACCAATCAGTGAATGGAATTTACAACAATGAATCACTCTAAACTGATTTTTCAGTTGCTTTACACCAAACTCTCTAAGCAAAACTCTCTTGGATTTCAAAAAATAAATGTACAGTGTGCTTATCCAAAGTGCTAGAGCTAAACTGGAGAGGTGGGGAGTCACCAAAACCAACTTCAGAAAAACCGAGACCAGTAGGAGGGCCCCCAGCCAGGCATTCGGAAAGCTGAGTTCCCATGTCGGCTGCTCCTTTGCTCTTCCCAGTCCTTCCCACCCCTTCTCCCCTCCTCCTCTCCCCCAGCCAGCCCTACTCCCTGGTACAAGCCTCAAGTAAGGCTCACACTGACACCATTGGTTAGTAAGGGCCCTTCGGTGGGATTTTTACACACATAAATGTGTTCCTGCCTTTCAGAATATTTCCGACAATGATCTTGGCTTGAAGGGAGCCAGCACCATCTCAGAATTTCTTCAGAGAAATATCTCTTCGCTCTTGAACCTCCAGCTTTCAGGTGAGCCCGTGGAAGAGGTGGGAGAGGACAAAGGGATGAAAAGAAGAGAAGGGCGAGGTGCCTGGGTGGCTCAGTCGGTTAAGCATCCAGCTTCAGCTCAGGTCATGATCTCACAGTTCGTGGGTTAGAGCCCCACATCGGGCTCTGTGCTGACAGCCAGCTCAGAGCCTGGAGCCTGTTTCAGATTCTGTGTCTCCCTCTCTCTCTGACCCTCCCCTGCTCACGCTGTCTCTCTCTCTCAGAAATAAATAAAACATTAAAAAGAAGAAGAAGAAGAAGAAGAAGAAGAAGAGAAGGGCAAGGGCAGGGAGAATCCAGGGTCTAAGCGAGTCAAACCAGGCCCCTCTGAGTTCTGAGACCAGAAAACTGTGTCCACGCCTGCTAAACCCTTCCAGTCATCCTTTCCCCCTCCCTGGGGCCACGCTGGCTTCCTGGCTCTCCTGAACAAGAGACTTCTGATTCACTCAGAAGCATCCCTGCCTCTGCCTGAAAGTCTCTACCCCAGATATCCGCATGGCTCACTCTTGCTTTATTCATGCTCCTGCTCAAATGTCATCTCCTGAGGTAGGGGACTTCCCTCCCCTCCCCTCCATCACCATCACTATCCTGTTTCCCTTGCTTGGTTTTTCTTAACAGCATTTATTGCTACCTGACCCCTATTGTACACTCACTTTTTAATTAGTCTGTTATCTGTCTCTCTCACAGAAAAACAAAAGTCACTTGAGAACTCTAGCACCCATAGACTTGTCCTCACTCGAGTTTATGGTTTGAATTAACTATCTTTAGGGTCCAGAAACCCCTAAGAAATTAACCTAAGTGGTCCTATACTGGTAATACCCTGGGGCATGCAACAGATACAAACAGAAAACCTCATTGAAGGAATGACCTCTAGACCCAGGCTCCAGGCTACTCGGGATTCCCACAGATAAAGCTCTAATGAAGATGGGCTCACAAGTCTAAAATTGCAAAACAAGGAAACAAAACACCATTAGAGCTGTCAGAATCTAACAAGTAGCAGCATCAGACCCTCCAGAACTTCAGAAAATAGAATTATCAGAAATAAAATATACATGAGGTGACCATATAATTTATCTTCCAACTGCATAGAAACATTATTAATTAACTAAAACTGTGAAGCAAACAGATATCTTGCACCCAACAGTAAATTATGTTCAATATGATTAAGAACATAGAAATAAAAACACACAAGAACAAAACACTGTTTTTTAAAAGACCTCCCCAAAATAGAACTTCTGGAAATGGAAACAATATAATCATTGAAACTAAAGACTCAATGGATACATTCAACAGCAAATTAGAATCAGGTGAATAAAATTAGTGACCTTGAAAATCCTTTGCAGTACAGAAAGATAGAGAACAGGGGCACCTGGGTGGCTCAGTTGGTTAAGCGTCCGACTTCGGCTAAGGTCATGATCTCACAGTTTGTGGGTTTGAGCCCCGCATTGGGCTCTGTGCTGACAGCTAGCTCAGAGCCTGGAGCCTGTTTCAGATTCTGTATCTGCCTCTCTCTCTGGCCCTCCCCTGCTCACGCTGTCTCTCTCTTTCTCTCTCTCTCAGAAATAAAACATTTTAAAAAAATAAAAAATAAATAAAAAAAGAAAGATAGAGAACAGAAAAGATTAAAAAATATATATAAAAGAATGAGGGACACCTGGGTGGCTCAGTTGGTAGACCATGTGACTCTTGACTTGGGGTGGAGACTTTGAGTCCGACATTGGATGCAGAGATTACTTAAAAATAAAATCTTTTAAAAATTATATATGTTATGTTATGTATTATATATTATATATACATTTTCAATTATGTTTATTTTTCAATATATAAAGATATATAATGATATTGAATTAATCATTATATATATATATAGAGAGAGAGAGAGAGAGCGAGAAACCAAATAGAGCTCATTGGAGTTCCAGAAGAAGAGAATGGATGAGCAATGATATCTAAACAAACAATAGCTGACATGTCCTGAATTGCTGAATTCTCAGAGGCAGGAACCCTAGTGAGTCCTATGTAAGGTAAATAAAAAGAAACCCACCCCTGAACATATCATAGAAAACATCTAATATAAAGAGATCTTAAGGTATCCAGAGAGAAAATACAGAAATAGTTTACATAATTTTAATATAAATGTTATTACACATCTTTTCTCCAATTTCCCCTTTTTCACTCTAAATATATCTTCTGTTTCTATGACATAGCAAATAGATTGATCTCATTCTGAGAAATAGTTTACATAATTTTAATATAAATGTTATTACACATCAGGCTCTTTTCTCCAATTTCCCCTTTTTCACTCTAAATATATCTTCTGTTTCTATGACATAGCAAATAATTGATCTCATTCTGAGACAGTTGAATAGTATTCCATGGTATGGATGTAGCCTAGTTTATCTAACATCTCTCCCTTTGTGTGTGTGGAGGGGGCACATTTCCAGTTTTTCAACCTTTCAAATAATTTTTAAAGAAATTTCTTGTACATGCCACTTTTGGACATATGTTCTAGTATTTCTAGATAGACACCCAAGAGCAAAATTACTGAATATAAAGATATACCTATTTTTCCAAAGTTGAAAAAGAATTTCCAAATTTCCCTTTAAGAAGACCATGCCAGGGGCGCCTACCTGGCTCAGTCAGTAGAGTGTGTGACTCTTGATCTGAGGGTTGTGATTTGAGCCCAGCAGTGGGTGTAGAGATTACTTTTTTAAAAGGCCTAGGAGTGCCTCGGTGGCTCAGTCAGTTAAACATCTGACTCTTGATTTAGGCTCAGGTCATGATCTCACATTTCATGGGATCAAGCCCCACTTGAGGCTCTGTGCTGAGGAGCCTGCTTGGGAGACTCTCTATACCTCTCTCTCTCTCTCTGTCCCTCCCCTGCTCACGCTCTTTCTCAAAATAAACAAACATCTGAAAGATAACATAAAAAAAGAAGATGGTACCAGGTTACAATTCTACAATGAATTGTTTCCCTGTACTACCTCCATTTTGGCTTTCAGCAAGTTATCTGTCAATCAGAATGATTAAATGTGTGGACGTTGAGGTCAGTGCGTGGATCCAAATATCAAGTACTGGGTTTACCTCTGTTCCTTCAAGCCTTTTTGTATCTTCTTCAATAAAGTATTATGCTTTTATTCCATTAGAAATCCTGCACATTTCATATCAGGTCCGGGTGTTTTATCATTTTATTCCTGTGTGAACAGAATGCTTTTTCTATCATACACTCTAAGTGGTTATTACTGATATGTCAGGCAGCTACTAATTTCTGTACATTGATCCTATATCCAGCCACTTTACTGAATTATCTTATTAGTTCTAACATTTTGTCAGTGAATTTTTTTGGATTATTTCAGCAGGTGATCATGTCTGCAGATTATGGGAGTTTTCTCTCTTCTTTCCAATATTTAAAGCTCCTAATGATTTTTCTAGTTGCATTGGCTAGGACCTCTAATATAACATTAAATAATACAGAAAGCTCTGTAAAAATACAAATTACCCAGCCCTATCCCAGACTGCTGAATCAGAATCTTTAAAGGAAGGCATTTGGGAAGCTGTATTTTATCAAACTTCCCAAACGACTCTCTTACAGCCAGCTCCATACTATTTGCATGTAACTAACCACTGATGTGAACACGACAATTTGTATAGCTAATAATCTAATTTTACATATCGGCTAGTTTATTGTCTCATTTTATTTCACTAGTACAGATGCAACCAAGACGTATTTGTGTCTCAGTGGACTCATTCATTCATTCAGGAACCATTTACTGAGTTAGGTACAGAGTTAGGTACTATAGGTAGTAGTTAGGTGCTAGAGATACAATTATTTTTTAAGGGCTTAAAGGAGAAATTTGGGGATAAATCTCTATATCATTTATTTCCCAGATATCTCATATATTTTCCAGAAATCTTTTAAACTGTTCAGCAGGGCTGGGGCAAGAGTAAGATAAGGAAGGCACGCACCTCCGTCACAGAACTCAAGGGGCTCAAACAAACTCGGTAACCAAGTAAAGAATATGCTGTTGCAATATTTGTCAAAGTCAAAAATAATGCAAAAAATGTCTGTGGTGAACAAAATATCAGCACTTTAAATATAAAATAGGATTCAAAAGGGACAGATTATGGTGAGGTGAGTGAGGCCTAGCCATTCAAGTACAGAGTCAGATCCTGCCTTTATTTAAAATTTAAACATTTTGAGAGGCGCCTCGGTGGCTCAGTCCGCCAAGCTTCTGACTCTCGATTTCACCTCAGGTCATAATCTCACGGTTAGTGGGTTTGAGCCCCGCCTTGGGCTCTGCGCTGGTAGTGCAAAGCCTGCTTGGGATTCTTTCTCTCTCTGCCCTTTCCCTGCTCACACGCATGCTCTCTCTCAAAATAAATAAATAAATAAACGTTAAAAAAAAATAAAATTTTGTTCATCATAGATGTTTTGCATTAGTTTTGATTTTTACAAATATTAAGACATTACTCATTGGGATTACTGAGCTTAGATTTTGCACACAAAGGGAGTACCTCACTTCTCCCTCTCTGGCCATGGCCCTGCGGTATTTTTAACAATGTTACAGACTTTAGGCGCTGAGCTAAGAGTTGGTGCCATCAGTGGGGGCACAGAGTATGCTGTGCTGACTTCTGGAACTCCCCAAGCTATCATGGCAGAGAGAGGAAGGAATGTTAAAGGGGATGGCAAAAAGTTGCCCTCTTTTCTCTTGTTTTCTTCTGTGCCCATATATTTGCTTTAAGTACTTGCCGCCTTTCCTGTGGCTGATTGTTCCAAAGGGGAGAGACAAGCAGGGCTAGGTTGCGGAAGGATAGGGGAGCCCTAGTCTGGGCAGCATTGCAAACACCCTCCTTCGCTACAGGAAATAACTTCAAAGACGAATCCGCAGAGCTGTTGTGCCAAGCCTTGTCGGTAAGAAACAAGGAAAGGGGCGCCACCCGGCTTGTGGGAGATGGCCCTGGGAGATGTGGGGGTCCAGAGGGGGGTTCTGGGCATAGAGAAGTGAGGTCACATGAATGTTTAGGGAGCTGGTGAGTGTCTGGACTCTGCCCATCCTGACCAAGGCCACAGCAGAGGCAGGGCTGTTTGGATGGGACTAGACCCTCCCAGCAGTCATCGACAGTTAAAAAATGCACAAGAAATCCTCTTCAGTCTAAAAACTCTAGTCCACCCGATCGATTTTTGGTGTATGGGAGCCCTCCATCACACTGCCCTGAGATAAGAGAGGTATTTGCAATGACATAAAAGACAAAAATCACCTCTCTCTGCACCGTTTCTTTCTCCAGAACAATTACCGAATTAAGATGCTGGATCTCAGCCACAACGAGTTCTCTGATAAGGGAGGAGAACAACTGGGCCAGATGCTGGGTGAGTCCCCAAAGGAGACAAGGGGCCAGCAAAGGAGAGGGCACTTGGCAGACAGTCACCTGTCAGAGCTGCATCTCCTGGTTTTTATTGTTATTGAATATTCTGACTATAAAAAGTGATGTAAACCACACCCCAAACACATTTTAAGTGGAGCGAGCACCTGGATGCTGGAAGTAAAACTTTAAAATGATTAGGAAAACAGGGGTGCCTGGGTGGCTCAGTCGGTTGAGCATCTGATGTCAGCTCAGGTTATGATCTCACGGTTCATGAGCTCAAGCCCCGCATCAGGCACACTGCTGTCAGCCTGTCAGTGAAGAGCCCATATTGGATCCTCTGTCTCCCCCTCTCTTTCTACCCCTTTGCCGCTCATGCTCTCTCTCAAAAAAAAAAAAAAAAAAAAAAACTAAATAAATAAAACATTTTTTTTTAAACTATAAAATGATTAGAAAAACATATGAAGAAATAACTTGCTGACTTCAAGGAGGCAAAGGATTATTACATATGCACCGTGGGCATAAACTGTAACAAAAATTATTCATTTATTTGACAACAACAAGTTTAAAACTCATTTATGATAAAAAATGTTATGGGGCAATGTTAAAAGATAAGCAACAGAGAGTAGATACTTTCAGTATTTGTATAATATAAAAGATTTCTGTTCAGAATATTGATAAAAGATCCTACAGATCCATGAGCCCCAATAAAACAATGGTCAAGGCCTATGGACAGTGGAAAAAAAGAAAGCCAAATTCCTAAGCTCGTCAGTAATCAGAGAAATGCAGAACAAACAAAAAGATTTCCCTTGTTGTCTACCGAAACTGCAGAAATTCCAAGTGAGAGAATATCCAGTGGAGTGAACACAAGCGAGAAATAAGAACTTTCTGAAGCTGCTAGGTAAAGGCACTTTGGAGATTAGTTTGACAGTATCGAGTAAAATTGAAAATGTATTCTATGATATCGAATATAGTATATACTCTATGATACAGTCTCGGAGAAGCTCGCACACGTACACAGAGAGATACGTATGAGGAGGTTCATGGCAGATTTGTTATAAAATTAAAAGGCATCGTGGGCCCCCTGCAGAAGCCTGGCTGAGAGGAGGCTGGGGCAGAAAGATGGGGGATTTGAGGGCAGGAAGTTTCCTAAGGATGGAAGACGCTGATAGGAAGGGAAGATGTGCGATTGGGGGAAGGAAGAGGGGATGGTTGCAGGAGCAGAGTCCTTGGAAAAGCTGGGGCAGCGGCCACCTGAACGAATGGGCAGAAGCGGCCTCAGGGGACAGCAATAATATAGCGAGGAGGCGGGGCGTGTAGGCCAGCAGGGCGGGCTGTCCTCCAGGGAGGGCGGAGCTCTCCCATCTCACCACTGCCGCCCCCTCAGTGCTGTGCGAGCAGCACCTTCCCCCGGAGAGGGCCCCAGTAGGCAGTTTTGAGGGAAGGGACAAGGGTGCAGGCAATGTGGGGCAATTTGAGTCCATCTGAAAACTGATTTTCAAGTTCTCTAAAACTACATTTTAGGGATGCCCGGCTGGCTCAGTTGGTGGAGCCTGCGATTCTTGATCTTGGGGTTGTAAATTCAATCCCCAGGTTGTGGCTAGCGAATACTTACAAATAAAATCTTAAAAAAAAAAAAAAAAAACCTAATTTTTAAAATAACTTTTTTCCTAGTATTTATTTGTTTTTGAGAGAAAACGCGCTAGTGTGCACGGGCAAGCTGGGGAGGGGTCGACAGAGGGTCTGAAGCAGGCTCCCTGCACTGTCCACACAGAGCCTGATGGGCTCCAACTCACAAACCACAAGATCAGCTAAAACAGCTTTAAAGTGAGACAGATTGGGGTGCCTGGTTGGCTCAGTCGGTTAAGCATCCAACTTCAGCTCTGGTCGTGATCTCACAGTGGTGGGTTCGAGCATCGCATTGGGCTCTGTGCTGACAGCCAGCTCAGAGCCTGGATGCCTGCTTCAGATTCTGTCTCCCTCTCTCTCTGACCCTCCCCTGCTCATGCTGTCTCTCTCTCTCAGAAATTAAAAACAAACAACATTAAAGTGAGACAGATTATATTCTGTTTAATAGGGTTATCATCATACTATGTATGAGCTTCATTTATTATTATTAAAGCTATCAGTTATTCGTGACTACCAGTGGGTAGGCATCATACCAGGCATTCAACATCAATTCCTACAGCTCTGATGGGTTACCACCTCCATTGGTGCAGATAAAACAGAAGCAAGGGAAGAGTAAGTAGCCTGCTCAAGGTCACACAACTAGTAAGGGGTGAGAACAAAATTAAAATGTAAATTCTGTGACCATTGAAGAGATGGGGTGGGGGGCGCCTAAGTGGCTCAGCAGTTAAGCATCCGACTTCAGTTCAGGTCATGATCTCACAGTTCGTGGGTTCAAGCCCTGCACCAGGTTCTGTGCTGACAGCTAGCTCAGAGCCTGAATCCTGTTTCGGATTCTGTGTCTCCCTCTCTCTCTGCCCCTCCCCTACTTGTGCTCTGTCTCTCTCTCTCTGTCAAAAAATAATAATAATAATTAGAGGCGCCTGGGTGGCTCAGTCGGTTAAGCGTCTAACTTCGGCTCAGGTCATGATCTCGCGGTTTGTGGGTTCGAGCCCCGCGTAGGGCTCTGTACTGACAGCTAGCTCAGAGCCTGGAGCCTGTTTCAGATTCTGTGTCTCCCTCTCTCTCTGACCCTCCCCTGCTCACGCTGTCTCGCTCTCAGAAATAAATAAAACATTAAAATTAAAAAAAGAAGAAGCAATGGGGTGTGCAAGGCATAACTCATGTGAGGGGAGTGGCAGAGAAGAGGAAGTAGGAGTAAAGAGAATGAGGGAGGGGCACCTGGGTGGTTCAATCGGTTAAGTGTCCAACTTCGGCTCAGGTCATGATCCCACGGTTCTTGAGTTCAAGCCCCACGTCGGGATCTGTGCTGACAATTCAGAGCCTAGAGCCTACTTTGGATTCTATGTCTCCCTGTCTCTCTTCCCCTCCTCAGTTCACACTCCGTCTCTCTCTCAAGAATAAATAAACATTTAAAAGAGAGAGAGAGAGAGAATGGGAGAGAGGATGAAGGTGGGAGAAAGTTTGTTCTCAAAAGAAGATAAGGAGTCGCTCACTTCACGCAAAGTAGGTCCTGGTGGTTGACTCAGGAGACACCCACAATCAGTACACAGTGCACTGACCATGGAGAAGTAGAGTAAGGCATTTTCCTGGGCCTGAGGGCTGAGGGCCATGCCTCCCACCCAGTAAAGTTTCAGGATTGCTTCAGCCTCTTTCCAGTAGTGCCCTCAGCATATCCACCCTCCCCCAATAAAATTAACCATGGTAATGTGTTTCAACAGGATGTTTTCCCCAACCCTACGTAGCACATAAGCAAAAATATTTTGAAGTTAAAAAGTGCAACTTCTATGCTAACCAGCTTCTGGACACACCTGATGCTTTAGCACTTACCACTGATAGTGTCCCTAAAGCTCTCTGGAGCCACTTCTGCTTCCGAAGTTCTCCAGGAAAAACACATCACGTGATGTCCTGTGCCCTGCCCATCCCAACCTCCCTACCTAAATACAACCCCTGTTCTCCATGCTGTCTCTACCTAGTTTAATGATTGCATTATATTCCACCAAATAGATGTTTATTCTATACTTTACCCTTCCCTGTGAATCATGAATGTTGCTTTTATAAGTGATGCCATGATAAACACCTACCAGCACATAACTCCTCTATCCTGCGCTGTCTCCTTAGGAAGAGCCTCAGAGATGATATTGCTGTGTGAGGGGGTACACACATTCAATTAGTAGCAAAATATCTGTGACCACCTCACATTTGCCAAACAGACTGGAGCAATGTGCTTCCCACCTGCGATATATGAGTATGGTTATTTTACTACATTACTGCCAATATTGGGAATCATCTTGCAATTTTGTGTTTAAATGAATAATGGAAAAGTTACTGCCCCAGCGTTTTACTTTGAATGAGTATTGAGCAGTCCTTATTCCCCAGTGTCATGGCTATCTGTCAACTCTGAGAGGGGGTTCTCTGGGATTTTGGGGGTGCTAAGATGACTCCCTTCCTCCTCTAGCCCTCAATATAGGGCTCCAGTCACTGGATCTGAGCTGGAATCACTTCCACGTACGGGGAACTGTGGCCTTGTGCAATGGTCTCCGGGTAAGGCTCTCTCTGGCAGTGGTGTCCCAAGCCCAGTGAGGATGACCAGGGCCTCACGTCCCGCCATCTTGAACCTCTTCCTCACGACCCCATTAATGAGTGCACACTGAGCCCTCATCAAGTGCTTTCACGTTGTTAGCATCCCTCCCCGATTCCTGGACGTGCCTTTGTCTTTAGTATAAATCCTACTTCAGCAAATTCACCTTTCTGGGGCCTTGCTGTCATCTTTGGGGATACTTCAAGGGGGCAGTTTAATTAGGGGGTAAGGAGTGACCAGACTCCGACTCCCTCCCCTGGGAGGGGTCTGAGTGAACTCTCCCTCCTGGGGACCACTGAGCACCCAGTCTGGATGGCAGCAGGGGAGAGAAACCAAGGCCTCTGGGCTGGGTGAGTCACGTGCAACCTTGACGTTGGTGCTGTTCTCTCTCCTCCCTGGAGGCGAATGTAACCCTGCAGAAACTGGATCTGTCTATGAACGGCTTTGGGAACGAGGGGGCTACGGCCCTAGGGGAGGTCCTCAGACTCAACCACTCCCTGGTCTTCCTAGACGTCAGCAGCAATGACATCAGCAATGAAGGAGTTGCCAAAATCAGCAAAGGACTGGAGTTCAACGAATGCCTCAAAGTTCTGAAGGTTAAGTCTTTGCTTAAGCTGGGGATGGGCCACTGTGTGTGTGTGTCTGTGTGCATGTGTGCATACCCATGCATCTGTGTGCGTCCATGTTTCCATGGCACCCATGTGTCCACGCTTGTGCGCCTGCATCCATGTATATGTGTGTGTGCCCATGCATCTGTGTGCGTCCATGTTTCTGTGGCACCCGTGTATCCATGCTTGTGCGCCCGAATCCATGTATGTGTGTGTACCCATGCATCTGTGTGTATGCATCCACGTGTCCATGTGTGTGCATCTGTGTGTGTGCATCTATGTGTGTGTGTCTATGCATCCTTGTGTTTGTGCATGTGTGTGCATCTGTGTGTGTATCAGTGTGTATCCCTGTGTCCTTGTGTGTCCACGCATCCATGTGTGTGTATGTGTGTATTTGCGGGGGGGAGGTGATGGGTTGCATATTGCTGGAGAGAATCATTGGGAAAATTCACCTTGTGTTTCACCTGTGCAAGGTTCTTGACTGTCTCTCTCTTATAAACCTAATGTCACCCTCTGCTGTCCCCAGGCACATGTTGTCATCTCCTAACCGGTCTTCCTTCCTCCCACCTGGGTCTCCTCCAAACTTCGCTTCACACTGAAGCCAGAGTGTGTGTTTTGAGCATAAGTCTGACTTCCACCCCCACCTTCCATCTAGTCCCTGCCAGCTTAGACCCCCCACCATGGCCTCCTGTGTTCAAATCCAGTTCTCTCATCCCAGTGTGCTTCTCCAGACTCAGTTTACCTCATGCTCTCCCGTGCTGTCCAGCCATGCCTTGGGGGCTTCTTTCATCTCCCCCTCCCAGGGCTTGGCTCTCCCTGTGGCCTCAGCCTCACCTGCAGCATGTTACCCGGCCTCTCCTGCACATACCCGAGTCCCTGCCCCACCTCGGCTTGCAGCTCCAGCACCGCACCTCACGGACCCTCAGACCTCAGCTCATCCTTTCACACAGACTCGCCAGAGTCCTCCTTCTGCTCTCATTTCAGCGACTCATTGACCGTCACCTCCACTGGTGTGAGAGCTTCCTGAGAGCAAAGACTGTGGTTCTGCCCATTATCGTGCCCCTCGTGCCTAGCTTAGTGCCGGGCATATAGTAGATGCCCGATGAATGTCAACTAAATGAATGAGTGGATCCCTCTTTCATTTTAAATTGATTGGCCTATAGATGCTAATATATAACATAGAAGCTCCTGGACAATTGCAAAATGGAAGAAAGATGAGGACTTCCATTACCAGCTCCCCTTTCTGGGGCTCCTGCCGTGAGCCAGGCGCAGATCAGGTGGTTTGCTGCTTGCTCACAGCCCGACCCTCCACCGTGGGCTCCCCTAGTTCCGCCCGTCAGATGAGACCGCTGAGCCTATGTGACTTGCTCAGGTCATGCAGCTCGAGAGAGACAAGGAAGCCAGCCTTGCCAGGCTTCCTGCCGCAACTCCAAATTCCTCAAGATGTGGGGGCAATTCAGGGGGACCCAAGATATGGGGATGACTCAGGAGGACCAAAGATGTGGGGGTGCTGGTGGAGAAGGACAGGAGTTAGAAATTAGCGACAATGAGCTGTCATCGAGAGGACAGGATCTTAGAGCTGCAAAGAGGAAGTCAGATTCCCAGCATTGGAGGAACATGGTGACCATCTAGTGACAGCGAGAGTTGGGAGTGAGGCCTGGCCAGAGTGGGAGGAAGAGTAACTCAGAGAAGAGAGACTGAGGCAGTCGGTCAGGGATTCAGCCTCCGTGGAGCAGTGAAGCCAGGGAAAGTTCAGAGAGTCTGAATCTCCCAAGATTGAAAGTCTGCCTCAACAAAATGGCAACAGGGGTTTTCTCTAATTGGCGGTGCACTGGTGGTGTTTAACATTTTTTTTCCACCTCTTTTTGAATGTTTCCCATAATGACCATGTGTCATTGTTTAAATGTTTAAACGCATCATCCCATGTTTAAATATATTTAAATTTTTTTTAATGTTTAAAAGGAAAGAACAAAGTTTCATTTATTTATTTATTTTGATGCTTTAAGTAGGCTCCATACCTAATATGGGGCTCGAACTCACAACCCCAAGATCAAGAGTCACATGCTCTACTGCCTGAGCCAGGCTGGCGCCCCCCAGAAAAAGATTTAAACACATCAGACACCTCTCTCCTTTCCCTACTCTTGGAAAAATAAGGATTTCCCCAGGGAAATGAGTCAAGCAAAGGATTCCAGAAGCTAAGCCCTACAATGTCTGTGTTTTCCCTCTGGAGTCCATCAGAGCCTGGGAGACACCTGACACATGGTAGATGCTCAACGTTTTGGCTGTCCCGTCAAGAAACCACCCAGCAGAAAGCCTTCATAATGTTAACTAACATTCATTTGCTGCCTACTCTGTACCAAACACTCTTTTGAATACTTTGCTTGAATTGGTTTATTGGATCCTCAGAACAGCCCTAAGTGATAGGTACCCAGTGGCCAGACAATTAACCCCAGGCCAGAGAGCTAGTAAGCAGAGCAGCTGGGCTCCATGTCCCTTGTTAACCACTGCACCAAGCTTCAGTGGCTCCCAGCCCCGTTGGGACAATGCCCTGAGTGCTTTGCTAAGCCCACATGGTCCCTGTGATCTGGCCCATCCCGGTTCTGTGGCCTCGTTCTTGCTGCTCCTGCTCATGAAATGTTTGCTATTGCCCAGACACCTCTGCACCTTCTCACTTGCCTCCCCTTTGCCTTCTTTGGTGCATCTCATTCCCTCCTCTGGTCCTACCCCTGCTTTTTCAGACCAGAATAACCCCTATTCGTCCTCCAAGGCTTAGCTCCAGTGTCCCCTCCACTGTACCGGATGCCCCTTTCTTTGCTCCTGCAGTACCAGTGCGTACCTCTGTCCCTGCCCTCACCGCATGTCTGATGCCATGTGCTTGTTTGCCTGTGTCCCCCTCTCAACCCAGTAGCCAGCACATGACAGGCCTCCAATAAATGTTTGTTAGCTGGCTGGCTGTTTGGCTGAGCAGTGAGATGGACAGGTGGATGGATGACTGGACAAACAGAGAGACAGGTGCCTACAGAGGAGTCTGGGTGGAATATAGGAGATTACAATTTGATGGGAAGAAACAGAAGCCACTCTCTGAGCCAGGCTCTTCTATACCCAGCTTATCTTCCTTCTGTCTCGCTATTCCTCCCACAGCTTTTCCTGAACCCTGTGAGTATGGATGGGGCTACGATCCTTATCCTGTCCATTAAGAAGAACACCAAATCCAAGATGGAGGAGATTGACATTTCTGTAAGTGATTAGATTGTGGTTGCTTGCACCAGGGAGCATGCCAGGTACCACGGCCACACTGTGTTGGCAAGTGCCAACAGCTCTGTCCCTTGTGGGCCCCCACACAAATTCTCCATGCAAAGGTCACTCCTTCTGGAGTATGACTTGGCCTTCTCTTGTAGGAGTAACCATTAGTTGATAACGTTATTGTGTGAAATCATTGACCAGATCCCGAGTGGGTCTAAGAGCAGAAACACCAGAAACAAAGGTGAGAAGCCCCCAGAACAGAATTTATTCACTCCCACCTTTGGTGATGGACAGCTCTGGGTCCCAGAATGGTTCCAGAATCATAGAACTTTTCATTTTTTGTGATTGATTGATTGATTTAAAGAGCATGTGTGAGCACATGTGAGTGGGGGAGGGGCAGAGAGAGGAGGAGGAGAGAGAATTCCAGGCAAGCTTTGCACTGAAAGTGCAGAGCCCAGTGTGGGACTCGAACTCATGAACCATAAGATCATGATTTCAGCCAGAGTTGGATGCTTAACTGACTGAGCCACCCAGGCACCCCCAGAATCACAGAATTTTTAGAATCTGAGTACTAAAACATGTACAAACTTGTATTTTTATTTCATGGCTTGGCTGACTGAGTAGAATCTAAGGTTAAGACTCCTTGATGGAGGAGGAAGGCCCCAGGGGGTGACTTCGCCTGGCCAGGTATTCTTGCTTGAATCTTCAGAGAGATGATAGCTGATAATAACAATATCCTAGACCCGCCCATGATTTTCTACTGTTTCCCCCCAAAAGTGATTTTTATAGGTTCCGGCTCATTTGATCCTACTCTGGGAGGTAGGTGGAGTGCATTCATGACCTAGAGCTGTTCAAACAATATAAAGGTATTGTCTCGCCCTCCTGTAAACTAACACTCAAGATCAAGGTGGTGGCAGAGCTGGTCCCTTCAGAGGATGGTGAGGAAGAATGCGTTCTGTGTTCCTCGCAGCTCCTGGTGCTTTTCTGGTGATCTGTGGTGTTTCCTGGCTTTTTAAGAGCATCATCATGATTTCTGACACCTGATTTCTGCTTCAGATGGCACTCTCTCAGGTGCATGTCTCTCTCCGCATTCAAATGCCCCTTTGTAGAAGGACAGAGTCATATTGGATTAGGGCCCACCCTAATGACCTCATCTTGACCATCTGAACAGACCCTATTTCTGGATAAGGTCACATTCACAGATACCCAGGGATTAGGACTCCAACATCTTTTTGATGGGAACACAGTTCAACCCGTAACAAAAGCTTTTCCACACTTCCCCATTTTACATAGGAGGCAACTGAAACAGAGAGATTAGATCACTTGCCCAGGAACACATAGCAAGTGAGAAACACAACCAAGAGTAAACCCCAGGTTTCTGGCTCCTACTCCAGTACAGACTTAAAGTTCTGTGATGTTACTCTAATGCCACACAAATCTGATGTTTTGCCAAGATTTTAATGCCTTGCGATTCTATCAGTAACGATAGTTTGAAATTTTAAACCCAAGCTCCTTGGAACTTCAATAAAAAGTAAAATTTGGACTTAGATTTGCCACAGATTACAAAACATTAGAAAAACATACCTGCTTGTCTTTCCAGTTTGTTCCCTCGCCCCTTGCTCCCTGCCCCAGGCTCCTTCTTGGGCTCATGGATCTTTCTCCTTAGGGGCCCTCTCTCCACCCCCATCCTACAGCTCTGACTTTGTCCCCCTGATTCTGCCTTAGCCCCCACCCCTCCCTGCCTCTGGGTCTCGGTTACAGGTCCACATTTTGTTGACATTTGCTCTCCCTCCTTCCCCCCACCCCCAGGGCAGGGTGGAAGGCATGGAGTCAGATCAGGCACAGCCTTGGTATCTGAGGGAACATAAGAAGTGGTGCTGTTTAGGTCCCAAATGGCATACGAACCCATGGGCTGGGGTCACACTGCCATTTTACCAGCCTGATTCAGGACAGACGGGCCTGACTTAGACTTTTCCTTCTCTTTTATCATCTCTCCTGATGTAACTCTAAACAGGGTTGGAATTCCTTCACTGTACATGCTTCTAGAGCTTTCTCTAGAATATCTACAAAGCAGAATGGGATAAGCCTTCAGCCCTTTAGCTCAAGGGAATTATTTGAGGTGGCAAAAGATGCTCAGAACCACATCTGAGGAATGAAGCCGGCTGATGAAAGCAGGGAAGGCCAGGTTTGGCCAAACACTGCTTCACAGAACGTGTCTTCTCCTGTGACCTGTAGCCCAGCTCTGAGGGCACTTCCACATGGGAGGTTCCCAAGGGGTGTTGAGCCAGGACAGTGGTGTTGGAGTGAGGGATCCCTTGGAGCAGGGGACCTGCTCCAAACACCGACACTGGTGTAGAAATGGACGTTTTAGGACATATGCCCCAGGACCAGTCTCCTCATCCCGTAGCCATCTCTCATCTGTCACACGCAGACGCCCATGCTCGCCGTCTGAGCCCAGAGCTGAGCTGACCATGTGTGACAGGCTGCCGGCACTCGACTAGTACATCTGATCACAATCATGTGCAAACCTTACAATCAAATCGCAAGCCCTAGGAAAGATGAACTCTCCCAGTCTAGAAGCAGCACTGCAGAATAAGCCGGAGAAGACCAAAAAAAAACAAAAACAAAAACAAAAACAAAAAAAACAACAACAAACCTCTGCCTTTGGCTTGGATGGGGTTGCTGATCTGCAGGGGGTGGGGGTGGGGGTACAACGACGGCAACACCTTCCTCATGTTGGGTCCCCTCTCTCCCCGCCTCAGAATGTGCTGGTGTCTGAGCAGTTCATAAAAATATTGGATGGGGTGTGTGCCATCCACCCCCAGCTGGATGTGATGTACAAGGCAGTGCAAGGCTTCTCTGCCAAGAAAATGGCCCTCTTGTGGACAAACCCCATGAAACTGATCCAGGTGAGCCCTTCCTTTCCTCTCAGAGACCCCAGGGACCAGAGTCTCCCCTCCCCCGAAGCGTCTGCACAGTCCCCTCTGACAAGGAATGTCTCAGACATGGAATATTCCCTGAGGCTGTTGGGTGCCCTCAGCAGCGCTTCCCGACTCCCAGAGGAAGAGAGGACCCGGGAATGGGTGAAGAGGGAGGGGCTCGGAACAGGAAGGTTTCTACCAGCCAGGCTCCTCGCCTGCTAACTTACGACCAAAGGCAAGTCACTGTGCTCTCTGTGCCCTAGTCTCTTCACCTGGGAAGTTAGCATGACCATAGGACTCACCCCGGGAAGGCTGCTGGGAAGATCCAATTCTACAACACACAAGAAGTGCTTAGAACCATGTCTGGCCAGTAATAAGGATCCAACAAACGCTGGCTCTTTTTTTTTTTTTTAATGTTTTTATTTTTATTTGTGTGTGTGAGAGAGAGAGAGCATGAACAGGAGAGGGTCAGAGAGAGAGGGCGATACAGAATCTGAAGCAGGCTCCAGGCTCTTACCTAGCTGTCAGCACAGAGCTTGATGCAGGGCTCGAACCCACAAACTGTGAGATCATGACCTGAGTCGAAGTCGGACGCTTAACTGACTGAGCCACCCAGGTGCCCCTTTGTCGGCTCTTTCCAAGAGCCAGTAAGGATGCCAAGACACCCCTGTGGTGAGAACAGCTTTGGTGGCTTCAGCTAAAGAGGGACCCTCAGATCCTTTATACCTAGTGGTGACCTGGCCCTGGCTCTCATCTTAGATCACAGGAAGCATGGAAATGAAAAACCAGACAATTCTAGAGCTTCCAGGGAGCCCCTCTGCTCTGACCACCTCACAGCGTAGCACCCAGGCCAGGCTGGTATTCCCACTCCTGGCTCTCACTGGAGGCAGAGTTGACAAGGCTGCTGGATGCAGACCGGTTGCTCCTGGGGTGATACCATACAATGTAGGTTCTAGGGGACGTGTGCCGCTGGGGCTGCTTCCTGCCCCTTGGTCGGTCGGCTCTGTGCCTCAGTTTCCAGGATGAAACAGAAGAGCTCTGCATGACAATTACTGGTTTTATTTTTAATTTTTTAATTTATTTCTGAGAGAGAGACAAACACACACACACAGTGTGAGCAGGGGAAGGTCAGAGAGAGAGACGCACAGAATCTGAAGCAGGCTCCAGGCTCTGAGCTGTCAGCACAGAGCCCAACATGGGGCTCAGACCCACAAACTGTGAGATCATGACCTGAGCCGAAGTCGGACGCTTAACCGACTGAGCCACCCAGGCGCCCCAACAACTATTGTTGTATGGAAAGTTCTAGAAGGCAAGGGGGGGTATCAAGTACCTTTACAAGTAAGATGACATCAGATGGACCTAAGGGGACACCTGTTTTGCAAGGGGAGCAGGATGCTGCAGGGAATAGGAATGGAGTTCTTGGATGCAAAGCAAGGGCCCTACACCTGCTGAACACAGCATAGACATCTCTAGGGATCCCATAGGAATCTCAGATTAGAAACCAAACTGGATATGTGACGTAAAATATAGTCCTTTCCCTCGGGACGGGTGACAATCTGGTTGGGGAGATGGGAGAAATGCGGTAACTTCTCATAGAAAGCATCATATGATGAATAATAAATGAGTGACCAAGGCAACAAATATCATCTGAATCCAGATTAGAGGCCACTGTTTGCAAACAGAAAGGGACACGTCCTGGGGAAGGGTCTTGAAGAGCAGAAAGGATTCAAGTGTGTGACAGGGCCAGGGAGAGAGTTCTGGGGCGACGGTCCCCACCAGCAGAGGAGCAGAGCAGGGAGCACACGGTGCACTTGGGAGATGGGAACAGAGCCATGTGGTTCCAGGCTCCTGCAAAGCCTGGAGGTCAAGGCTGCACAGGGAGGCTGGGGCTGGATGTGGTGGTCCTCAGGTTCTAGGCTCAGTGCTGGGGGTGGATTCCACAGGGAGCAGGGAGTCAGCCGCCGTTGCTGAGTGGTGGGGAAGGTGAATCCAGCACGATCAGGGAATAATAATAGCCTTTCAGGCAATGGGAAGGGAAATAAGCTGAAGGGGGCAAATATGAGAGCAAGAATGCTAATGAGGGCACTATGGTAGCATTCTGGGTGTGCTATCTAGTGTTCTAGAATGGTGCCTTGCCTGAGGGTGGCCATGGAAGTGGAGGGTCAGGTGTAGGAGGCCCCCTATGGAGCACCTCCGGGATTTGGTGAATGGTTGGACACATGATGCATGTGTGCGAGTGTGAGTGTGCGTGTGTGTGTGTGAGAGTGCTGGGAGAACGGAGGCCTGTGATGATACGAGAGAGCCAAAGGTAACTCCAAAAGGTCAAGCCCAAGGGACTAAAATAAAGGTGGTGACACTGCCAGCCACAGGGAGGTCCTCTGTAGCCCCACCCTCTCCTCCTGCCCCTCCCCCCTGGTTCTTGGAAATTCACCCCCACTAGATTCCACCCCCCTCCCCGTTTCTCTTCACCAGCTCTCACTCAGCTCCAGGCCTGTGCACATGCAGGTTCCTCTGCCTGGAACAGCCTTCCACATGTCCTCAGTGTCGTGCTCATTCCTACTCTTTCTCTAGGTCTCTATTCTAGTTCACTTCCTTGGGCAACCCTCCCAGATTCCCTAGTCAGGAGTAACTCCTGAACTCCTCCAGGCCAGGAGCTACATTGGGTCTTACCACTAGCACCTACTGATCAAATGCTCCTACTGATCAAAGCTCTTTCTGCTGACCACACAATTCACTCTAGCTAGGTTAAGCAAAGAGGGATATATTACTGGAGACAGACCACAGAAACATTGGAGGGGCTGAAGAAACAGAGTCTTGGTTTAGGTTCCAGAAATGGCTCCGCAGACACCTCACATGAGCTCCCAGGATGGCTGCTGCTTCTGCTGTAATCAGGAGGCTGCCCAGTGGGGAATCACCCACTGAATCAGGACCACCTCCACAGCCGCCCATGGCCTGCTCTCCACAAGTCAGACTTCTCACACAAGCCTTGCCCATTCTGACCCCTAGCTGAAAGGGGATTTGGGGAATGTGGATTTTTAGCTCTGTAGCGCCTGCATTATAGAGACGTGTGCTGTGGAGGAACGGCAGGCATGTCGAGGGCCCACCCGTGGCGTCTGCCACAGCACTTACTACTGTTGGCGGGATCGAGCTGACAGAGGTTCACCTTGGATGTGTTGGACTGAGGTGCCAGTGGGTAACGGCATAGCCTTGCAAGCAGCTGTTGAGGATGCAGAAGTAGAGTCACCCCAGGAGGAGAGGCAGTGCACCCCAGAGTAGGAAGTGTGGGGAGAAAAGAACAGGGGACCAAGGACTGGTCCCTAAGGGACTCCTCCATGAGCAGGATGTCCACAGCAATATCTATTATACAGCTGGGCCTTGGTAACTTTTTGAGAGTTGGAGGGGAAGAGAAACAAAAAGATACTTTAAAAGGACCCCAAAAGAATGTTTTAATGATATTGAAAAGATGTTCACATGTATTAGTATAGTGTATTTTATAAAACAGCATGTACAATAGACAGACAATGGATGGATGGATAGATAGGTAATAGATTATAGATAAGTGATAGAGGATAGATAGATAGATAGATAGATAGATAGATAGATAGATAGATAGATAGATGAATGGATGGAAATAACAGCATAGACTCTAATCCTTCCCTGTTTGGAGCCGCTCAGAGATCCTGCTCAGTGGTGGGGAGCTCCTGGAGACGGGGCGAACCCGCAGAACCATCAATGCCTCAGTCTGTGCAAGGCTCTTGATCTTAGGTGACCGCTAACACATGGGAAACTCAAGCTTTAGAGTCTCCCTTCTTACACCTCCCCCCTCATGCCAGGTCTGGGAGCCTAGGCCCCCCTTTGGCTGAAGGAGGTTGGGGGTGGGGATGGGGTGGGATGTTAATAGATGTTACAAAGTCAAGTGTTTGCTTCTGGTGTCTCTGGCTTCTCTCAGAGCTACGCGGACCAGCACCAAATCACGGTCATAGACTTCTTCAAGAACTTGAACCCTAAGGGAACAATGACGATGTCTGTGGGTGACTTCCGGAAAGCTATGATACAGGTGTGCAGAACCCTAGTGACAATAGCCAGTGTGTGTGTGTGTGTGTGTGTGTGTGTGTGTGTGTGTAGGCCTGGGGAGGGGTAGGCAGGGGGCCCCATTGACTTCGCATGTTCCATCCACTTCCTCAGCAGGACAAGGTCCCTATAAACCGGTACCAAGTCAGGGAGCTGATCAAGAAGCTGGATGGGAAGGCAGGCATGGTGAACTTCAGGTCAGTCTAGGCCCAGCGGCCATCTCAGCCTGCTTCCGCCCCAGACAAGCCCCCAGTTCTCTATAAGGTGCCCAGGGAGGTGGACCTGAGCTCCAGGGGCCACCCCATCTGCATTCGATCAGGTACAGTGTCCCCTGGAGCAGGGGCCACGCCCTCCCTGGGCTCCAAGGCCCCACTGTCTGCCCACCTCCTCAACTTCCGATTCACCCTCCAAGCAGAGCTTCAGCCTCAACTGTGTGCTGTTGGCTGTGGGGCCAGGTTCTGGGGATGCAGTGTCACAGCCAAAGAAAGGTGACACAGCAGAGCACGTGGTCAGGCCCTGGCATGGTGAGAGGTGTGTGCCTGGTACCCGGGTAGCCCAAACAGGAGGATCACTCAGGCAAGAACCAAGTACAGAAGCGTGAGCCTCGTGTGCATTGGGGCCACTCAGCTCTGCTGTGGCCCAGGGGCTGATGCCGTTGGGGCTGAGGCTCAGTTCCTCAAAGAGACAGGGAAGGGCCTGTATAACAGTAAGAACTGTAAGAACACCTGTGAGCCGCTACCTCGGGCCAAGTACTCTGCAGAGCCCCAAACCTGCGCAGGCGCCTGGCGCTGTCGTCCCCCATATGTGGCCCAGGTGCCTGGCACTGTCGTCACCTGTACTCAGTGAAGGATGAAACTGAGCTTTAGAGAAGGGAAGCATGGAATCTCAGTGCTCGAAGACAGACAGGGGCAGCTGTGGCCTTGAACCCAGGTCCATGGGGCTCCAGAAGCTGCTCCACTGTGCTAGACCTCCTCTCCAAGGCCACAGTACCCCACTGGGCCTGAGGGTTGGGCTCCCATCTGGTCCTGCACCTCTACTTGTGATGCCCTTAGGGAGCTCTATCAGAGGGACCCCCCCCCCTCTGGTCCTGCCCCACAAGCCTCCCCACCCCGTACCTCTGTTCTGTGCCCTGCTCTGCACTTCCCGTGGGGAGAGGCCAGGGCAAAGACAGGAAGGGCAGCCTGACCCATCTGCACGCCTTGCTTCCAGTGAGGGGACAGCTCTGCACAGGGCTCTGAGTCTCCACGTCTTTAGAATGGGGTATAACCACAGCACCCGAGAGGGGTTGTAAGGATCGAGTAGGGACAATGTGCGCAAGAGGCTGGCACATGTCACCCAGCAAGGGGGCCCTTTCTGAAGATGGCTCAGGCTTGCACGTCCCCCACGCTGCATCTCTGTCCTGAGACCTCCCCACCCCCCCTCCCTAAAGGGGACAATCTTCTTGTTCCTTGGGAAGCTGGTGGGAAGTGGCCCAGGCAGAGGCCAAGAGACCAGGTCCCGGTCCAGCAAACCCTTCAGCGTTGCAGATGAGGTCAAGTGGCCATCAAGAGGCAACACTGGAGCCTGGGGCCCTGCATCTTGGGAACTAGGTGTGGGGGGGGGTCCCTCGCAGGCACCTCAAATTGTCCCTCAGCTCTATTCTGATTGAAGAGCAGAGTGGTCATTTTTATTGTCGAATGAAGTTTTTATTTTCACTTTTGTTGCAAATATATTTACTTGTAAAAATTCTCAGTCCACAGAAGTATAGCAAGAAGAAAGTGAAGGTTCTCTTTTATCTCTTCTCCACAGTACACACTGCCTCCCGTGAACAATCTCAGTGCACATTTCCATGCCTTTCCCGTATCTTACAGTCAAGTGTGCATGTGTGAGTGCACACGTGAATGTGTGTAGTATGGTGGTTTAAAACATGGGCTCTGAGGCCAGACCACTGAGTTCCAAGCCCAGCTCCACTCCTGTGCGTGTCACCCAATCTCCTTGGGCTTCAATTTCCTCATCTGTACTATGGAGCTAATAATAGTACCCATGGCATTGGAGTTTTTGAGGAGTGAATGGATTAATGGCGCCCATTAATCTAGACAGCATTTAGAGCGTTACCTGGCATGTGGTAGGCTCGGTGTACACATATGTTTTATTATATATTATTTTACCCTCACACTCACAAACACACAATTTCTTATTTATCATAAATAGAATCGTGTCTCACGTTCTCTGAATATGCTTTGCCTTCCCGTATGTCTTGGCAATCTTTCCATGTTTGTACATTTAGATCCATCTCAGTCTTTTTTAACTGCTGCGTGCTATTTCATAGCACAGAAGTCTCCTTATTTAATCTCACTGTTATGGACGTTTAAATTATTTCCATTGTTTTGCTACCACAAATAATACTGTGACCGGCATCCGTTTGTAGATAGTGTTTACGCACACGTTTCTGTGACAGGGGCTCGGTGGAGCGGATCCAGGGCAATCACTGGGCCAAAGGGTGTGCACATTCTAAATTTCAATCGACTGCTAAACCCTTGCCAATCCCTTCAATCTTCCACCCCCTCCCTGAGCCGACACCAAAACTTACCCACCTTCAACCCTCTGCCGCGATGGGTTTACAAATGGTCCTACTTGGATTTGAGTCTGCCTAAACACCTCCTTCAGTCAGAGGGCATTGGCACTCAGCGTTGTCCCCTTACCTTTCAAACCAGTTTCCTAAAAAAGGTGAAGCCGTAGTAGCAACAAGTCTGGTCTGGAAAGAAGTCCCCCACGACAGAGAGGTCCTGGCAAGTCGACTGGTGGCATGGAGGAGGCGAAGATCTGTTCTGAAACCTCCATAGGCAAACACCAAGGCCGGACTGTGAGTGAGCCAATAAAGTCTGGCCGGGTTCCCACGCCTCTGGGCTGCTGGTGGAGTGCCCCCCCCCCCCCATCCTCCCCCCCACCAGCTGGAGCAGCACCCTCTGGTTTTAGCGACCAGCAGGGGGCGCATCCTTGGTGGCCCTGGTAGGAGGGGCGAAGACAAATTGGGAATTGCAACGGGGTTGCTAGGCAGCAGGAAAAGAGCAGTTGGAGGAAGATCAGTGCACAAAGGCAGTCATCCTAGTAAATACAAACTGTATCAGGGAGAGAGATTTCTGAGGCGCGGGAGAGGCAGCGGCAGAGGGAACAGATGCTCAGGAACAAGGACGGAGGTCCTTTAGAAGCAAATGCTGAGGGGTCAAGTGGAGAGAGCCCAGGATGGGAGACAGAGAGACCCGGCATGTAGTCACAGCCCAGCACTACCTCGCCACCCCACCTCGGAGCCTTATGCTTCCATCTGAAAAAAGTAGGACAGCTGAGATGAAGGCTTCCCAATCTGTCCTGGGAATCTACTGTTCTACATTTCTTTTTAAAATTCCTTGGGAGCTAATGAGACATGAATTGCTGAGCATAAGAGCAGGGATAGGCAAGGACAGTGTGCGCAGAGCAGGTGCGGGGACAGGTACCTTAAAGGGTTCTCATTAACCTTGCCAGTAGTCTTTGTGGATGAACAAGGGCAGGAACTGAATCGTGCATCTCTGTACCACCGCACGGTGCCTGACACATAGAAGATGCTCAATAAAGACCTATGGAATGAACTAACACATTCACTTGGCAATTGTTTGGGGCAAGTGGTGGAAAACTGGGAAAGTCTGGGAGTAACCAGGAACCGACACTTTAGAGCCCTGATGTGTGCTGAAGTGTGATGAGTGACGGAACAGCATCTAGGAACCCAGTCACTGCCTTTGGGTTTCCCTTGCCTTTGCCAGGGGTGAAGAGACCGAGACACCTCTGCACGTGTGGCAGAATCATTACTTGAAATAATTTATGTCCCCTCCCTGCAGTGCATTTTCCCCTTTCCGCTCCTTATTCAAGGTCTTAGCCTGAGGTTGAATTCCCATTAGTTGGGTGATATAGGGGCTCAGAGTCAAACTTAGGATCATAAAAGAAAATAAAGAAATGCAATAAGGGGTTTGTGGGCTGAAACTCACATCTCTCGTGCTTGTGATGTCTTTGCTCTGACACCACAAATAAATCGAGTCCCCTTAAAATCAGGAGCCATGTCTTTTAAGTTTATTATAATCTATAAATTTCCCCACAAAGTCTCCTATCCGGTAGCTGCTGGTGTCTGGGTAGCATCCTGAGGATTATGAAGCCAGGGAGTATCAAAACTTGTGGACTATGTTATGTATCAATAAAAACAGCAAAGTTTTCTGGAGATGCTTTTAATCCATCTCTTGCATAAACACCTGAGGCAGCAATTTTCGGATCAAATGTTGTTTTTTGTTTGGGTAGCTTCGGGGAAATTGTGGAGATATAAGAAAGCTAAAATCCACCCCCCTTGCCCCCGACCCTTCAGGCCATCCCTCGATGCTACCAACCCCAAGTAAGTGAAGAATGACCAAGCCAAAACCTGCCCATAACAGTCTGGGAACCTTCCTGAAGTTGGAGTAATTCCTGCTAGTGGCCACTAGGTGTCAGGTCAGCTTCAAATTCCTGGTGAACACACGGCTTCCAGATCTTTGCAGACCGCTTTGCAACCTTTGCACTGTGATCTCCCAAACTCCTGCCCACCACCCCCTAAAAGCGTGACGTGAAATCTGAGCCCTGAAGCGTCCAGCAACCCGGCACTTGGGCAAACCTCTCCAAGGCTCAGTGTCCTCCTCGTGAATTGAGGTTTCTAACAGCGAACTTTGCACCCATGCTGTGAGGCAGAAAAATCAGGGGCTGGCGGGTAAAAACTCCATAAACAGTCCATTCCCTACCCCAGCCAGTTCACCCTGGAGCCGGGCAAGACCACAGGAGGAGATAGTGCTTCATTTGGGTAGGACTGCTCGAGGAACTCATCCTCTGACAATCAGCTTGCCAAGTCTGGGGCCTGGTGGGCACCTGCAAGCCCAAGATGGAGGTAGAGGAGCCTTGCAAAGCAGGGGAGGCCAGCAGGTCAAAATGACCCGGAGGCATTGGACTACATGCCCAGCACTGAAGGAGGTCGGGCTGCAACCCAGGGAATCGGCAGCCTGGCTGTGCCCCTCCTCACCTGCCCTAACTCGGTTAGCTTCATACACAAACTTTTTGCTCTGCACAGAAACTCTGTGCAGGAGATGTTTATTATCCTCATTTGACAGTTGGGGAGTGGCGGCATGGAGAAGTTAAGCATCTTACTCAAGATTTCTTACTGGTAAGTGGGGAAGCTGAGATTGAGACGCTAACAATATCACTCTGGCTCCCTGCCCCTCTATGCCTTCCATGCAGCAGTACCATGTCAAGACAGGGGAGTTTAAATGCACTTACTCTGTCTACACGGGATCTACAACAGAGTGAGGAATAAACGGAATAGCAAGCATGAGCTTCAGGCCAGGAGGGAGGCAAAGGCAGAAGGTAATGTTCTAGTGTGGCTGATTTCTCAAGGTCAGGTTGTCAGACCCTGCCTGCTCCTGGGTTTGCTCAGAAATCGTGCTGGGGAGGTAGGCTGGGAGCACGGAAGGAAGCACATGGAAAGCTCTGTGCACCCGCGTCATAAAACAGTTAAGCATACAGGCTCTGGCACCGGACATTTTGAGGCTTGAATTCTGCCTGGCTTTCCCACTTACCAGCTCTGTGACTTTGAGCAAGTCCCTCAACCTTTCTGAAGCTCAGTGTCCTCATCTGTAAATAGAAATGATACTGGCATCCCCTCCCCCACAGGGTTGCTGTAAAGATTTAATGAAATTGTGCTCGTGAAACACGGAGCCCAAGGCCTAGCATACAATAAATGCTTCTTAGAAGGATGACCTCATCACAGCGGCTTTCCCTTCCGAGAGGGTGGGGGGAGGGGAGGCCTAGGTCCAGCAGGGCACAATAGGGGCCACACTAAGTGGCCATCTCTGCAATATCCAAGTCCTGGGCCTTTGAAACACATGGGAAGCATTCTCATCTCAGGCTTTGGTTTAAGGCTTGCATAAAATCAAAAGAATTTGTCCAGAATCTTAAGAATTGGAGAGGGGGAGGGCCAGGGACAAAGAGTATCACATGGGCAACGCAGGGGACACAGTAAAGATCAGGCATTTTTCTTGGCCGCTGAGGTCCGAACCCCCCTTCCTGGGCTGGGAATGCCTCGCCTTGGGGGAGGGGCAGCTGTGACTCACAGCCTGCAGGCAGCCAGACGGACATAGGATCACACCTACACCAGACACCGACTCTTGGAACGAATCAGGAACTAGTGTCCCACAAAACCAAGGGCCACGGCGAATTCTCGGCTCACAGCCGCAACACCGCGGCTGCATGCGTGGCCTCGGAGCGGTGGCGAGACTGAGGCAGGAAACACAGGCAAATGAAAAATCCAATTCCCTTCCTGCCTCCAGCCCGCTAACAAGTCATTGAAACCGGCAGTGACCTTCTGCTAGGAGCTCAGCTGCCTCAATGCTGACACTTTGCCAAATGCAAAAGGCGGTCTTAGCCTACCTACCGGCCAGGATCCTGTAAGTCTACTTTAACATATAACGATTACTTTGGAAACTTCCTTTATCTCAACCCCCCCCCCCCATACATGTTAGCAATCATCCTCCAAGCATATGGCCCGCACACATCTGAAGGGTCTCATGACTGTTTACTGAACAGTAATAAGTAACCTTTTCCTAAACAGCAGCCAGTGCCCTCAAAGTCCTGGAAACCTTGGGGGGATTTTTTGTTTTTGTTTTTGTAACATTTTTTATTTATTTCTGAGAGAGAGAGAGAGACATCACGAGCAGGAGAGGGTCAGAGAGAGAGGGAGACACTACATCTGAAGGAGGCTCCAGGCTCTGAGCTAGCGGGCAGCACAGAGCCTGACGTGGGGCTCAAACCCACGAACCATGAGATCGTGACCTGAGCTGAAGTCAGCCACTCAACCAACTGAGCCACCCAGGTGCCCCTTGGAAACCTTGTTTTGAAAACTCCTCAGAGTCTTATGCTACCTCTAACCCCCTCCCAGCCTGAAGGAATATAATCAGTCACCTGTCACAACCCCAGCGCAGCTCCTTCTCCACAGGT